CTTTATCTATATAAATTAAAAAAAATAACATTTATTTAATATCCTGTTAGTTGACTGTTAACTTTGTTAACGTACTGTTAACATTTTATTATAAAAAACATAAAATTTAAATTTAATTTTATTTATTAGTTGAGTTAACGAAATATTAACAGTCAGTTATCAGAGTTAACAATTAATTAATAAAATTAATAATCAATTAACATAATTAATAATCAACTAACATAACCAATAAAACGTTATAAATTGACGTTAAAGAGAATTATTTTCTTCAATTTATATAAATGAAGGGTTAAAAGTGTTATAACATATACATGATATGTCAATATATATTTTTCCAATACATGATTTAATTTTGATTAACTCTTGTTATTTTATAAGATGTTTAAACGGATGCAATATTCACTTCTTTAATATCATGTAAATGTTATCAATAAATATTATTAATAATACCCTATTTAATTTGTGTTTAGTAAACAACTAGTAACTTATAAAATTTTCTGAAAGAGGGTAAACATGATAGAGAATTAAAAATGTATTTGCAATTTGATACACATATTAATCATTGAATAGTTAGAGATAGATCTCCAAATAATAATCGATAATTAATTTATTTAATAACTGGTATTTAATAATCTGATAAAGATTGATAGAGAATACTCACCCAATAAAGTGTCCAGCCAACCATCAAGAAAAACTAGCAAATTGGCAATTGCCATTGCCCTGAAGCGTGGCGAACAATTATTTACGGTATCTTATGCTACTAACAGTACAGTTCCAACGGCATCTGTTTTTTATCAATAAATTATTATGATCATACTAAAAATAATCAATGATTTGTTAATTTAAGTGAAAAGATCTTAATTTTTTTTAATTAAGATTTCGAGTTTAAAATTTATGAATAAAGAAATTAATGATGAGACACGATTCAATTATAAATTAATCAAAATTCAATATGATTTTTGGATACTAAAACGTTAAAAAAAAAAAAAACTATCATATTAAAAAGAGTTTCAGATTTCATCTTGTATGGTTGTGTTGATTGAATTTAATTTTAGTTATTAAAA